GTGTGTGTGTGTGTGTGTGTGTGTGTGTGTGTGTGTGTGTGTGTGTGTGTGTGTGTGTGTGTGTGTGTGTGTGTGCGCGTGCGTGCGTGCGCACCTGCGTGTGTGTGTGGCAGCCACACACTTCCAGCTTGAATATATACAGTACCTCTGAATATGTACCTCTTGCATTCATACATGTTTCTTTGGAGATATAATGAGGCTCTCAGACGGTCATTCTTGAAATAGCAAAGAATGAGGGGGTCGGTGGACATTAAACCTCAGCATCAGTCCTTGCTGACCGACACACCGTTTCATCAAGACGACACCGGTGACCTGAGCACCTTTCGTTCACTTTGCAGCAACACCACGGTGGTCAAATATAAATTGTAGTTGATTGAGGGGATGACCCCTTCTGAGGGGTTATATGGTCAAGAGATGGGACGATAATGGCAATACCGCGATATTAAAATGGCCACAATATCGTCGTCTTCACGATATCAAAAGCAGCAAAGAGTGAGAGAATGTGAAACATTGCTTACAAAACCAAGAGTGGACAAAAGTACTTTGACGCCATTAAAGTCTGGTCATGTGATATGGTAACAAATGACTGCGGTTACGGCTGCTCTGTGGTTTGGTTGTTACGGCGACCCAGTGGTTGTGTTGTTCGTGTCTGCCTCACAATTTGTAGGTACGGAGTTCAAATCCCTGTTCTGGGTTTGCATTGTGCTGAATTGGGTTTTCTATGTACTCCAGCTTCCTATCAAATTCCAAAAACGTAAATGTTCGTTTCATTGATTGGCTGGCGTCGATTCACAAGTGTGGCTTCAGCTCACCCTCAACCCTTAAGGAGTGATTCAAATTAGTCACGTAATTCACCAGTTTTGAGTTTCACTCAAGTGTACAATTTTTACAACGCACAGATATTGCACTGTATATATTACTACCGGTGTATACTCTACGGTACAGTCGGTCCTTCCTGGTTAACTGTGTTGCCCTTTCATTACCTCTTGCGAGAGACAAACAGGAACAATTGTTTCCTGTCGTCAGATAGAGCGCCTCTGACGGAGGCTCATCTCCGGGAAGGATCCCCTCTGTTTGCCCTCCATCTTGGCTTCACTGTATAAAGCCTTGACTGGCTGCCTTGAGATTCTATGCCAAGTCTTTGCAGATGCTTCATCAGTTCCTCTTTCCAAAGCCAAAGATTTTTTTTTTTTTTTTTTATGTTTTGTTTTTTTTTTCTCCCCCTCTCTGTTATTATCTGGCCAGAGCGGGTATTCTCTGAAGGAGACCTGTTTGTGCTACCGCCAGGCTCATAGCCATTCACTGGCTCGTCTGTTTTCTTTTCTTCTCCCTCTGTTCAGTTTGAATACTCAGGGGAAATTTGTCTGTCTCTGATATAGTTTTTTTTTCTGCTGACCACCCCCCCCCCACTTTTTTTTTTTTTTTTTGCTTCTACTCATCAGTTTGCCCTTTGCTGAGACACTGTAACTCATTTTTATGTGATTTTACAAGAGAGCTGTGTCGAAAAAGCATTAATTAAAAACACAATTTATGTGTTAATATGCATAATCGTGTTTGTGTCCTGATCCCTATCGGAGATAATGCACCAAAAAATGCCCTTCACCAGAACCTCAACGGCAGAAGGCGATCGTCAGCTCCAGCTTGCTTAATGCTGTGCCAATGTTGTTTGAGCGGAAAAAAAACAGCAATCGGCCATCTGGACTCGATGGAATGACTCAAAAGGAATTTTGAAGAGGTTCTTACCATCCATCCGTTCTCACAAAGACCAAAAGCTTGGCTCTGTTGTCTTTGGGAATTCTGTTTTGAATGTTAAAACCGGTAAATGATCATTACCACGAATCAGTAATGTCGTTTGATCCCATGAAGAGAACTATACTCTAAACCCTCACATGCTGTTTTGGTCAAATTTCGACATTTGGCTGCAATAAAAAAAATAGGCTTTGCGTGATCAACATTTTTGGGGTCGATTGCTGATCAATGAGGTTTTTAAAAAAAAACAACAACAAAAAAAAAAATCACCGATCCGATCACAAGAATGAGCAACACGTCTATCGAAATAACTTGTTTACTGTATAAATACATACATACATGACCGACTGACATTTGAATTTAAATAGACGAATCAGTCAGCGTGACTCATGACGCTTTCTCCTCTCTACTGTACCCTGCCCTTGAATTCCCACCCCTCCGTTCCCCCGCTTCAGGCCAGAACATCTCCTTCCCCCCTGTGGCGCTGTGGGTGACCATCGGCCTCGCTGTGTGCCTGCTGGTCCTGCTCGTGGCGCTGGCCGCCGTCTGCCGCAGGAAGATCAAGGAGAGCTGCGAGGAGGCCAGGAGAGAAGGTAAGAAGGCCGTTCGACACCGCTGGACATTCTCCCATTCTCATGAATGATGGCTCACCACCAACCTGATGTGTCATCGTCGTCGGTTGAATAAAATGGGTATATTTTCTTTTTGGGGGGCTTTTTGGAATATGAATTACTGTTAACTGACCAGAGGTGAGTAAATACTGTTACTGAATAATATGACTCAAATAAAAAGTCCAAGTCAAAAAAACTACTCACATAGGTTTCTCAAGTGTGATTCTTGTAGAATAAAATAACCACCATTTTCAAAATGGCAGATGGCAGCGCATGCCGACATCTCTTCTTTTTCCTCGCCCATCCATTCATTTTCATCACCACTTCTCCTCACTCAGGTTGCAGGTGAGCAAGAACCTTTCTGACGTGCGAGCTAAATTAACCCGTTACCTAGTTTATAATCATCAAACTTATCATTTAAAAACGTATTTCTCTACGTGGGTAGTGCCTCTCCACACGCGTACTGTATATTGAGCCGAGATGAATATTCAATGGGCTGGTAGAATCACGCTGAGTGTTCTGAATACCTGTTTCCATTGTTGGACTGAGCAGAATAATGCTGTCCTGATATATTTCATTTTTCCGTAGGTGATTTCATGTTCTTTTTTTTTCCCTGTCTTTGTTCTTTTGACGGAAAACTATTTGAGTGAATTCAGTTTTCTACCCCATGTTGCCTCAGTTTGTGTTGGACCAACAATCAATTCCACGCATAAGCAATCGATTATACTATTATAATGCCATTCTTCTGACATGCATTAATTAGGAACAACAGTGGAAAAAAGGCTGTGAGGAATGGAGAAAAAAAAAGTAGAATGCCACCGCAGCAATGGAGCGTTTCCTTGCTGACTGCAATCGCCCAACCTGCTTGGTCCGGTTGTGATACGCACTTTGAAGGCCCACATTCATTATGACAGGGAAGACAGCGAAGATAAATTACTTATTTCCACACTTGTTTTGTTTTTCACGTTTTTTTTTCCTTTTACTGACCCCTTGCAACGCGCGCTACCAACACGTGGTGAGCAACGAGTCGACTGCAATCCGGCTCGGCCCCGGGAACGCCATGTAAAGATAAGACAAGCACAATTAGGCCGACGCGTTCACGAGGTACACGCCATCGCTTTTATAATCCTCCCTCCTCACATCCGTTCTCACACTGTGTCATTCTATCAGAGCCTGTATCGTATGTGAATAAGGCGGCGCGGCCCCGCACTTCAAACACCAAAGTGCAGCTGGAAGGGAACAGTGTATACGCCTTTACATTTCAATAAGGTGGCTAACCAGATAATCAATCCTGCTTTCAGTGCGTTCAGCTCCTTCCCGCCCAACAAAATGGGGGCCACGCAACCCCAAGAGCCCTTTGCTTGCGGGAGGCAGTGCATGATATATTTCACTCTTTCCATTTCATTTGATTCTGTATGTTCTATGGAGCTATTTACTCTCTCCCTACTAAGTCAAGTTGATATTTATTTTTAAACCTGTGGGCCCTGTTGCAGACACCGGCTGACCTTTATTTAAATGTCTCCTCCACTCTGTGTGGATCTCATGACAGCAGAGCTGGTGGCTTTGCACCATTTGTGTCCACACAACCTATTTTTTTTTGGGGGGGGGGGTGATCCCAAGACATTCCATCATGGTAATTACTGGAAACAAATACTATCCCTGAGTCTGAAACGGAGAGAAAAATCAACCCCAAAATTATTTTCACTCATGGAGGCAGCAGTTCATCATTCAGCCCTTGAAATACACTTTACACACACTATTCTTGCTGAAATTCGCCCATTTTCGGGGTCAGCCATGTAACAGTAGGCTGGATATCGTCAGCAAATGTGCGCTGTGGCCGGCTGCTTGCTTCCGCTGGAAGCAGAGCTCTATGTGGGTGGGGAGGATTGCAACTTCCCCCGAAAAGACAGCAACGTGTCACTCGAAAGTGACTCTGGATCCCTGCCCAACAGCGCTGTAGGGGATGGGGCTTATTTAAATAACGTGAAGAATCTTTCGCTCATAGACACAATTTTAGAAATAAATAACGGTAATTATGTGGTTGTTTTACAATTCATAGGTGGGTGATCACTAAATATTTGTGAAAAGGCCATTATAACATCTGTTTCTGCAAACGTAAGTTCAACTCCAAAGTTCCTTGACGTAGCATCCTGGAATGTGTGTGCAGGTGTCTCACTCATTACACAGTTGTCGTTCAACAGCTCAACTGACCTTTTTTTTTTTTTTTTTTTTAATAGCCAGCAGCCCAATGTGTTTACTCTACTGGCGAGAAGGATGGACACTCTATTTTGGGGGTGGCTATCGCCGTGATTGCATGCGTCCGTACGTGCACGTGTGTGCGCCGCGACATGGCACAATTGCGCTGAGCTTGATGGTCATCCAGGTGCTCTCATCACAACTTGTCCTTTGAGCTCGCTGCTGATGAAGTGATGTGCATTGCGTCCGCCACCTTCCACTCATAGCAGCTCCTCTTGTCTTTTCTCACAGCTGAGGAGGCTAAGGAACTAGAAGAAGACGAAGAGTCAAAGACAGGTCAGCCAATGCACGCCCGCTCACACACCGATACTTATTGTCAGGACAGAAATATTGTCTGTATGTTTATGATGGGATGGGGGGGGGGCAGGAATTAATGTTTTCTTCATGTTATTGGCTTTGCTAAGCTTGACCTAGGTCACATAACTGTGTACAAAAAGCATGTGTACACACACACACACACACACACACACACACACACACACACACACACACATCAAGTTATAGCCGCTATTAGCAAATATGGTTCCTCGCCCACCAAAAAAGCTCCAATATTCAATAATTGCAAACTTTGCAACTATCAATTTGCCCGTGACGAAAACCACATTAACATCAATGTGCAATCTTGCAAATTGATGCAATGGTCAACGTTGCTTGTCGAACACAACCAGGAAGATGAATTAGCTAATGTCGAAATTGGACACTGAAGCAAAAAGACGGAGAGGGTGGCCAGGTGTGAGGGCGACCCAACAAAAGCACTTAGTGAATGTTAACTTTGTTTACTCAAGCGCCAGTGAATGCTGATGAAGCATGAATGCACGTAAAAAATGAGACCTGCTCCAGGCACCAAGTCCAGCAGCCTGTTGGCATCATTCTTCATCAAGTGTGTGTGTGCGTGTGTGTCCGTACGTGTTGAATGGAGACAGATGCACTCATTTAGAGACGCCAACAAGCTGTTTTACATAACACGTTCCCCAAAAGCTACACTGTAAAAGTCATTACGTTCAGGTTGCACCAAATGAACGGTGGTTAGAGCGGCTGTGTATCTCAAGCCTGTTGGTCGAGCCGCACTTGTAGATATTTTGGGCAATAAAGAGTAAAACAAGCCTTCCATCGATACTCCACAGTAACAGGAAGGGAACATCCCAGGAGATGCTTTAAAGTTTTGCCGCTTGATCAATTTCATACTTTATTCGGAATGGCCAATGAAAGAAAACAACGATGAGAGCCGTTATGTAATGTCAGCAGGGAAATTAAGAGACATTTTTTAAGAGTTGATAGCAAGGTCGACACTTTTAGCTCAGTCTTTGCAGTTGGCAAGAAAATCACGAATCAATTCCATAGTGTTGCTTCGTTTTGTGTCCACAAAAAAAACGCCATCCATCCACTTTCTCGACCACTTGTTCAGGGTTGCAGATAGCGGGAGATAGTCACCAGCCAATTACAGGGCATGTTCATCCATCCATGATGTATACATTAAAATAAATAAATAAATAAATAGCATGAAGCAATATCAGACGAGAGAGATTGAATTTGGACTCAGCACCCTTTTTGAAATAAATTAGGTTTCTTGCTCGGTCGTTGTTTTACAAAGTAAGGGCAGTTGTTTGCGAATGTCTTAGCTTGATTAAACACAAAACATCATGAAAGAAGACAGAAAAGAAAAAATATATATATTACTGCTGAGAGGCTGAAATGAGACGATTTGGAGTTAAGCAGTAGCGTTAAACGATCACTCAGTTATCAAAATTGTTAGTTATTTTGTTAATGGATTATTTGTTGTTTCATTCACAGAGAGTTAGCAATGTATGTGAACCACTGCACTACCAATGCCAAGTCCACAAACAACCAAAAAGAATCAAACTAAACTTGAGACGCTTCAGTAAATGCCCATCATCTTTAGCAGTTCAGTGTTAATCTCATTAGAGTCGTTCATTTGACTCCTCCTTTCGTCTGATTACATTTTTTTAGCCTTTCCCGCCATCTCTAAAGTTAATACCATGTGATTTTAATAAGCCACAAGGTGATGGCAGTGGGGCGCGATGACTTTTTCTATTCTTTATTGCCTCCCTCATGAATGTTTCAGAGTTCTATGCAGCCAGGAGTGGGGTCAGCTATCCCACAACTAGCCGGGCTGAATATTTCAGCGTGAGCAAAAAGGGTGTAGGGGGTTGATCATGTGCGAGCAAAAACGAGCAAGCAGATCACAGCGACAACTTGCAGCCGTACTTGCCCTCGATCCCTCCCGCCATCGTGTGGATCGTGGTTCGATTCAGGTAGATGTCGCGGGGGGCGGCATCAGTGCTGAAGGTGAGCTTTAATGGCTCTTGCCTTCTGAGACGGGCTCGTGTAAGCACTCCGGGACTGTCGGCTTTTGTGTTGCCATCTGGCTCCAGTTGTGCTGACAAAGGCCCCGGTCCCTGCCCGAGACAAAGACGCCCAAAACAAGCTCGGCTTTAATGACGACGATGGGGAGTTCACGTGTGTTATCTTAATGAGCTGTCCAAAAGGAGAGCACGCCTTCCCTTTCAAAGGCAGCCTGACTGGAACAATAAGTGGTGATAACGAGGAACCAGGACTCATTCATTCACGCTGGGGTGAGGTTTTCCTTTGTTGGCTTTATAGCTACGGCAAATAATGTTGAACTGCACTCAAATTGTAGATTCATGGTGCACACGTATGCACCGCTACCAATGTGCGGTACCTACAATGCTCAACATGGCTCACTCTCCATGTAGGACAACCTCCAAAAAAGAACTTTGATTTGATTTGAATGAAAGACTTTTTGAATGGAAGCTAAAATGTTTGCGTGTCAACAAATAGATTTTGAACCAATAAATGAATGTTAGATCTCAACAAACGCTGAATAGAAATTTAAAAACATTTTACATGACCCAAATGCGGGTGGAACGGTTCATTAAGTCCACGTTTCTGCTCATGCCACGGTTTTGTAGTCATGGTTTTTCATTTGGTATATGTTGACTGTTAGGAAAATCAATTGTGTCTTGTGTGGTTGGGTTAAGCATTCCGCCCCCAACAAAAAAATCCACTGCGAGGCAGGCTGCGAGCGAGCGCATCAGCGCCGCGCGCTCCCTCATTCCAACAGCAAGACATCCACCCGGCAGGTTAGATGGCTGCGAACGTGGCATCCAGACTCTGATATTTACTTATTTATTTTAACAGTAAGTGGGCAGCCTGACCCGCATCACAGACAGGCTTTCGCCTTGGCATGCGGTGGCAGATTAATCATTATGAGCTGCTGCACTGGACTTCCCTGACACATAGTCAGCAAAACAGGCGTCGTCAGTGAGGCTTGACGGACCTTTTGGTAAATTGCCAGGATGACTCAGATTTGTCAGAATCTGAGGTAGGAAATGCCACGTTGAATTGGGGAGACAAAGCCATGACGTCACGGCTCCGCCTCTTGCAAGCTAGTATGGCTACGCACAGTAACTGTCACGGCATCTCGACAAATAGGTTCCAACCAGTGGAACTAAAAGCACCTTTGGATGCACTTGTTCTCCATAAACCAGATGTATAACCATAGACCGTTGAGGTTTTTCGAGGCTTCCGATTCAGATTTTCTTTTTGTACCGACATTTTTGTACCCCAGAGAAGGTCGGATAGAAAATTTCTTATGCGCTTGTACAAACGACATCACAGGCAAACCCAACATGCGCTCGCCCCGCCCCCCTCGACATGTAGAGTGGCACAAGTAAAGACAGCCAAGTACATGTGTTCCTCCTCTGATATGTGCAAGACATACAGCCTTCCTGCCTCCTCTCCGCCGCATGTTCAGTAATCTGAGCATGATGCTGTTGTAGTTGTTGTTGAGTGACCTCCAACTGGGTCCCAAAGTGGCTCCTAAAGCCGCAGCGACCCGGGTACCTCCAGACCCAGTTGTCGGCCGTTGACTGGGAACTGTTTGTAGCCCGAAGGCAAGCCCAACACCGCTTGGAGGTTGTTCCCGAGTTTGGCTGAGCATGATGCTGTGTTAACCGGGCTCCACAGTCACGCAAGTGCAGCTACTGCCATTTCTGTGCTTTTACTTTAGCGCAAGCAGTGTAAAGCGAGTTACAGACTAAGGCCGTACGTCATGATTAAGCGAGGACAGTACAGACACTGTTGCTCAAATATTGCTAAACTGAAACAGCAGGAACATAAGTCTCTTCGATAAAACATTTGAAGACTGACCATATTCTTAACATGAGCAAATTCTCAGCACAGTATCGAAGAGGATCTTTGGTTCTGTCAAGACGGCAATTAGCAACTTAGTCGGCTGATGTGAAGCACTGCTGTGTGTTGGTGTTCATCTTAAGGGGAGGCATGTGAGGATTCTCCATCTGATGTGTTTGATACTCCACTTTGACTTGTCCTGACATATCTGCAACTGCAGTTGAGCAAATAAATGCCACCCGGTTTCCATTTGCGGTAAAGCAGTCGATTGTTTTGGACTCAGACAAGCAGCAAAAGTTCACTTTCCACTTAGTGACAGTGTGAAATGAGTGTGAATAATTGTCCATCTATAAATGTGGCCTGTGATTGACTGGCGACCAGTCCAGAGTATATCTGCATTCGGCCTGAAGTTAGTTGGGATAGGCTCCAGCTTGCCTGCGACCCTGAACAGCATAAGCAGTCTATAGAATGGATGGATTGTAATGGACTGTGGAAGGTTGGCGTGCCCACTGAGACTAAAGTCCACTCAACAACGGCGTGAGTTGAGATTCAAACTCCAAACGCTCGTGCTGTGCTAAATAGCCAAGCACCGTGAAGCCCCACTTTGAAGCAATTAACAGCACTACACTAAAATCCCTTCAAATCTCCCAAGTAAGCCAAGTATTGACTTGATTTAGCGCAGCTAGATAACACGAGGCTCATTTATGTTCGCTGCCAGATCTGCACAGAGCAGGTCATCCAAAAACTTTTCCATTGGTTGTTGTCAGTACTTGTTCGACGTTGGGGAAAATGCTGATTTAGAACTGGCAGATTTGAAGTATCCAAGCGTGTAAGTATGAGGGCATTTTTTTGTTTGCATTTTAAATAGCACGCATCTATTCTTGTCCACGCATAAATGAGCCTTACGGCTCGTTGTGTATGTGTGTTGCAGACAGACAGAAACAAGGGCGGCCGTATCAGTCAAAGTCACCTCTGTTCTTTTTATATCCCCTCCCTCCGTCCCGTCTATCGAGTTATTCGCCAGCACGTATGGCAATAAAGATAGAACACCTTAATGTGCGAGGAACGGAGTGTTCACCTTATGCTTCTCTGGGGAAGTGCGGTGTTATGCTCGCAGCGAATTACTGCCACGGTTTCAATATTCTATCGGGAGCGTTAGCTGGATGTTCCTTGGCATCTTTAATTGCCTTGGGGACTTGGATACACAATGCATGCATCATTTTCAATATAGATAGGCAATTGTTTTTTTGGGGGGGGTATAATTGTCCGGAGCCGTATTCTATAATTATATTGAACTGTGTCGAAGTTGGTAAGGAAGCACCACTCAACAAATCAATATTAGCAACTCCATTTCATCTGTATTCTCCTGATACAACATGAGGAACACCTGTGCAATATAATGAATTCCTATTACAAAGAGATGTCTTGGAAAAAAAAAAAAATCTACCTTTTGAAAAGATAATAATGTTCGGCGTGAAAGGCAACTCTCGGTATAATGCATTGCAGTTGTAAACCACGGTAATATACATGCAGTACGTATAATTGGTTGACTTCCATTCATCCATTCTGATAAAATATTCTCCTCACGTGGGTTGCGGGAGCGCTGGAACTTATTCTAAGTTGATGGCACACAAAAGTTGAAGTCAAAACAAAAGTTTATCGGTGTAATACTAATCTGTTAGAAACTTGTTTGAAAGACTCCCTTTAGTTTGTTGTTGAATGAAAATGGTAACAATTAGTGGATTAACATTAGAAATAGATATAATTGAGATCAAATCGCCCCTTTAAATTCGGCGCAAGGTGTGCCGTCGACATGGTAACAGACTCGCCGGAGTCTGTGCAGGAACTCGGCAGGCACAAAGTACATTTATAAGGAATTGCAAGAAGATCTCCTGTGGATGACGCAAGTTTGACGGCTGCCAAGAGGGCACTTAGAGAATACCTTCAAGCCCCAATCGTCGGTCTGTCTGAGACACCGGTGGCTGATCAAAGAGCAGCAAAAACAAGCTTTCGTTGAAATTTCTCGGGGAGTTGGGGTTATGAGGCCTGGGGCGATATTGATGAAACCAACCCATGTTGTTCGACTGATTAAGAAAGGACAGAAAAGGGTAAAAACATGTTTTTCTTCTGGTAGAATTCTATTGTTGCAGAACACAATTCTGGAGGCCTTGAATGAGAAGTCACAATGCGCTAGAAATGCTGGCAATATGGGGAACTCTTCTTTAAGAATGGTTGGCTGTGAATGAATTAATTGTATTAATTCAAGTCAAACAACGTCATAAAGGAGCACCAATAGATTTAACATGCTACATTTTCATAACAAGTGACAAGCAGTTTTCATTATCGAGGGCTGTCAAAAGTTAAAGTTTGAACTTTGGAGTGTCATTTAAATTATTGAAACCTTGAAAATACTTCCTGTGGAGGTCTTTTACCTCTGCTCACCTATGCATCCAAACTGGCATGAAGATGGACAAACATGGACTAGAGAGTTTTACGTTCAGTTTAATTTGCTTGACGCTTGCTGGAGAAATCCTAAATAATTTGCGCATTTTATAAGGCCAAATTCAAATGCCATATTTGTTACGTCTCTTTGGGGTATCATCTCGGAGCAAAATACCCTTTTTTTTTTTTTGTTAGTTTTTTTTTTTCCCTGACTTACACAAAGCCTGAATTCATTTATTAAGTCATCTTCAGTTCCACAATAATATCTAGGTTGAATCAAAAAGTAGCCTTTCTTATGATGACATAATTGACTTGCAAATACACACTGCTACATTGCCGCTTACGCTATCATGATTTCATAACCTCGTTTGACAGACCTTTGGGTCCCTGGCATACATCGCGAGTCATAATTGAGAGGAAGAGGGCCTGTGGAAAGCGGCTCAACTTGACATGTCCTTCTTTTCACTGGCAGCCACGAGGCTCTCCCAGCGGCCGCGCATTACTAACTAAAGATATGCAAATAGGACGGCGGTGGTGCCTTCGTTATTAGATGTGGGTTGCCGGATAACTTCAAGAGTCCTAATTAAGAGCCTTTCCCCGCGCCGCGTTGTTTAGCGGGTACACACATGTTACAGAACCGCCGCGCTCGCGGCTTTGACGGCAAAAGCTTGCACGCGAGTGTATTTCTCTCAGGGATGCACCCGAGAGACTGGCAACACTGCTCGGATAATAACAGGAATTATAAACCTCTTAATATTGCATTGATTTCGAATTAGATGGAATCCTGCTGTTACTTGTGGTACAACTGCAGGGTGTTTAAAAAAAAAAAAAGTATGCACTTTTTGAGTCACCATAATTCATAATTCAATTATTTTGCCGTTTATTATATCATACGGTGATTCTCAATGTGTGGCACACGTACCACAAGCAGGCTGTCTTGTGTGGCAAGTGCAGTTACAGTTCATTTGTATTTAACTTTTAAGTTTAATACTGTGCGTGTATATATATGGACTGTATATTTACTGCATATTATTAATGATGGAATTTAAATAATATTTTCCTTGGTCAAACTTTTACGGTTATTAACTGTACAGGCAATGTGGGATGTAAATTCATACAAGTTTGAAGAGAAGTATCCCGCTGTCTTGTAAAACTCAAGTAAAACCGCTGCCAGTACGATGACTACGACAACCCAACCGGATGCTACTCTAAATTGCAGACAAGCAACAGTCCATGCTTCAGGTCTCGCTTCCCAATTGCCGCTTGTTCCGTTTAATGTCACAACCACAGAATCCGCGGCTCAGCCGAACTTGGCATGCAAAAGGAATAGCGATCATAATTATTAAAACGGTTTTACGATTGTCTGCCCCGACCGTTTTCCCTAGTCTGTCGTAGATCACTCACCACTCTCCAGAGCTCTGGTTAATCACTCCGAATTATCAGACATCACAGAATCCAGCTTTTCCTGATTTACATCGCAAGGAAGTGAAGATACTTAGATATGTTACACATGTATCAAAATGTGTTCACCCCATTTTACAAATCAAGATGCAGAGCTAATCTTTAAGCGCCGCCACTCACTTTTGTATCGCTACAGTCATGCCACATGTTGCAAGAGCTTCACAAGCGGTAGGAGTTGACATACACCGTGTGCACGCTCCTGTCGCATAATCTCCACTCCTTTGACAGCACAGTCGAGGCATGCTGGGAGAGCTCCCCTATCCATCTCACTCACCCGATCTGCCCTCCCCAGTTTGTCTCCACACCAGTGTGACTAATGAAATGAAAGTGCCGCGCCCTCTGCGTCCTGATGGCGCAACAAGAGGGGAGGACTTCCCGCCAAGCTGTCTTAATGTGTATCTCATGCTAATCTCGTCTTTTCCTCCTCAGCAATGACACTACTGAAGAGCTAAGGCCCAAAGACAACGAGGGTGAGTGTGATGTGAATGTAGATCGCCTGTCTTTATTTGTTTTTGTCTCCCTTTGAGCACACTCGCCCTTAAGGGGAGCGTCTCCGGAGGCGACAGGTAAGTGTGCCGTAATGAGCCTCAGCGGCATTAATTCGGTACGACAGAAATATGAGATGTGTTGGCATTTTGATTTCACAAATCACAGCGTTGATGTGACAATTCTGTTTTATTGGACTTAATACACAATGTTTTTGCCCCCCCCCCCCCCCCCCCCCCCCCCCAGCATCGAAACAATGATTGATTGTAAACACTCTAAAGCAGGGGTCTCCAATGTGGTGCAAAAGTTTCAAATCATCAAACCAATTTAATATCACTTAGAGACAACCCAAGGAAATACAAAATGCAGGGCCCATTCACTTGAATAGTGAGAGGTTTCCAGTCTCAGCCCGGAGGCTTGCTGCACCCAGCGGTCGTGGACCCCGACTCGGGCTGGCGGATTTGGGTGGCCTCCAGAGACTAAGGGCGACGAGCCATTGACTCGAAGAGGCGGGCAAATTAATGAGACTCAGTTCAGTGTCAATTATCGCTGGCGGCGAGCTTTGTGTGCCGCTCACTAAATCATTATCGCCCCTATTTCATCCATGGCACATATGAAACCAAAAATATGGTTCAATATCATTGTAAAACACAAAATATTGGCTATGAACTGTAGTTGTCACGGCCGGCGGCCAACCAGTGGGTGGCTGTCTCACTGCCTTAAACCCGGAAATTGATTTTTCATCTTATACGTGAAAGCTTCTGTGCAAAAGCACTGCCCGACATTCGCCACTCGTGAAATGTTACTGTGCAGTGGAGGCTTGCACATTTCAGTTCATCCGACCCCCACCCAGCCTGTTGTATTGGAAAAGCAACGGAGGCTGGGCGGTATGGTGCAGTGCCATGTGGTGTGGGCCTGAATTCTGTCAAGGAAAAGCAGCGTATGGTTCACATGAAGCTAGTCAAAGGGTAACCGCTTCGACCCTTAGATTGCCATTGCTAACCAAAACAGCAGCGTCTACCAAAGACCCGAATGCAGAGGTCTGATTCCGTTGTTCATGATCGTTTCAGGCCTCTACAGAGCTTGCTGAGCTGACTTTGAATGAGGTGTGTTGGAGTAGGAAGGGATCTAAAACAGGCAGGATATGGCTCTCGGGGAACCGGAGTTCCCTACCCCTGACCTAATTTGTCAGATGAATTAAAATGAGGTGTCCGGTTGCATTTTGATCACCAGTTCCCTGCTTTCAAGTTGATCCTGAACTACTGTTGTCAACGACAACTTCTCTCGTGGTCACGCTCCAATGTGGGGTGCTTGTAATAGATGCCTCTACACACCGCGACATGTCCCGCTACATCTGGCTTGAAACACACCAATGCTTATCTTGCCGGAGCTGTATTGCTCATCATATCTGACCAAAACCATCATTTTTATTTTGCACATTGGGTTTCCTCTTGACAGCCCGGTGGTCCAGTGGTTATCGGGTCGACCTCACAGTGCAGAGGGTACCGGGTTCAATTCCAGCACCGGCCTCCCTGTGTGGAGTTTGCATGTTTTCCCCGGGCCTGCGTGGGTTTTCTCTGGGTACTCCGGTTTCCTCCCACAATCCAAAAACATGCATGGCAGGCTGATTGAACACTCCAAATTGTCCCTCAGTGTGAGTGTGAGCGCGGATGGTTGTTTGTCTATGTGTGCCCTGCGATTGGCTGGCAACCGGTTCAGGGTGTCCCCCGCCGACTGCCCGAAGACGGCTGGGATAGGCTCCAGCACCTCCCGTGACCCTTGTGAGGATAAGCGGATCGAAAAATGAATGAATGAATGAATGTTTCCTCTTCAATAAAAGTACCACACAAGAGAAGTACTTTAAAACAGATGGAGGGATGGCAAACTGGATTCAACAAGGCACCATTAGAGGGTCCCATCATCTGGAATTGTCATCAAAAACAATTCAGTGAATGTGGCATGAATGCAAGGGCGGGTCACATCACAAGGTGGAAGTAGCCTGTTTTGGCTCGACGCAGACTGACTCATGGGCGGCCTCTGGCAAGGGTACACTCGGAGGAGGACTCTTTGGCGTCGCTCCACTTCGCCCATTCTGCCGCGGCCCAAACGCCGTCAAACGTCAGCGCCGTAGATCTGAGGCGGCATCGATGTTCCACTTGGAGAAGATGCGCGATGTCACATTCCTGATAGCGTAACCTCTCTCCATGATTGCCTCTGCATGAGAGACTGACTAAGAGGAGCTTGGCCAGGGCATGACAGACTCTTATTGTTTTGCGGCAAGTCTTTCTCCCAGATATTCGGCCGTTACTCTTCAATCTCTTGTTTTCATTAGTACAACCAATAAACCACTTTAACGATTCAATCGAATGTCATTGTCGGTAAAGTATCATGACAATACGATAATTGTCCGTTTCTCACACTTGTGGTGATTCCCACCTCTACTAACCAGCGTTAATAGTAAAACGTTAAAACAATAAAACAGGAAATTAGCTGTATCGTAATCGTGTCAATATCATCAGTGCATCCCATAACATTGGGCGGTTGCTGTGATCGGTCAAATGCAGAGGTCAGATTTCGTGTGTACCTCTCAAAGAAAGATGATTATTGTTTTCAATATTATTTTAATGCGTTTAAGTGATTTTGTGGTGATCACGTGTACGGTATTTGCTTTGCTTTAAAGGTTAGTTATGACAACAAAGTCATATTTTGAAATTAAAAAAAAAACACGATTGCAATGTTGTGGAAATAAAAGTTTCATGACAAAAAAGTTTAAATATGATTGACACACAAATGAATATGATTTGTAATCATATAATACAATTATTGAGGGTCATCAGAAGTGTGTATCAAACTGGTAGCGCCTCACATTAATCAGTACTTTCAGTTTCAAAAAGGTTAGTGACCCTTGCTGTATGTACAGTCGGTTTTGCTCCTTTTTCAAATGACGCACCACAATCATTTATTGTGAATTATTTTGCAGATTCCCAAGCTATGACTCACTCTTGGTGTCTATTCTTGGGCGGCAATCCCGGCATGTGTGTATCGCTGAGGCAGTAGCCAATAATAGAGCAGATGACATTAACATAAAGTACGGACCCGCACTGTATTAGTGCTCCGATGCGCCTCTAACTCTTACTTTAATAACCGTCGGTTTGGTGTCAGTTGCGTGAATCCTTTTCATTCCAGGCTTGGCCAGTTACAGCTTGTTTTTATTGCACCCTGATTGGTCATCGCTATAAAGCCAACGCGTGCAAGCCCGGCGCGAGCAGAAGATGATGGAAAATAGCGAAAGTAATTTCCTGTAACTAGCCAAAATAAAGTCTGGCCCGTAGGAGTCAAGGAAAGGGCGTTAGTCATTACCGTAGTATCCACTGACCTTCACCGCTGCTCCCATTGCTCGCTAATATCCTGCCCGCCTTTTCAACCTCTCTTGCTGCCGAATCATCCTTGATCAATTATTCTAATATTTGTGTGGCGCTTTTTGGTATTGATTTGCGCGTTTACTACGACCGCGGCATATCTTATTTAATCAAGCCCGCCTCTGCATTTAATTAACTTGTTCGGGAGTCCAGGGGCACTTTGTTTTCATAAACCTCTGCCTTATCGATACATGTTCATCCGTGACTTATGTTTATTTGTGCAAGGCTTTTATGGCGTCATTAACAGCAACCGAGATCAGACGGCATGGTAAATAACATTCTGCCTCACACCCGGTACGCTCGCTAGGTCACTTTTTGACCTAAAAAGCGGAACTTCCAAAGTTAAACACAATCTGGCAAGTTGTTCCAACCTCAAAACAGAAAAAAAAAATCCCATAGGAAATAATATAAAGTGAATAGATTTACCGTATTTTCACAAACCATATGGCCCACCGTGTTGAAAGGCGGAGTGCTATTCCTATATTTAACACATACACTTTTTTTTTTTTTTTTTAACGCGGGCATGGTAAAACGTACACTAGCTTAAAAAATACAGTTGCATGCATGCACGCTAGCCTGTGTTTTTAAAAAGGCAGCGGGAGCAAAACTGAGTTCGGTTGTACTTTCGTGAAGTATTTAACAAGTTTGCTGTTTTTTTTTTTTTTAGTTCTAATTTGTTGGAACATCCTATGCTTGTGTGTTTTTTCTCCATGGCCTGTGGCTTCCTCAGGTTCAACCCAAAATTGTCCTTCAGGTGTGAATGTGAGTGTGAATGGTTGTTGGTAACCTGCCCTGTGATTGACGAGGCTCTCAGTCAGCTTGGAGAGGCTTCAGCTCAACTGCGACCCTCATACTAAGCGCAATAGAAACTACTGAGATACAACATCAAGACATCAGTTTCATTGCTAGTCATCTTACTGATGATCATGCAACCAAAGTGCTGTTTGGCACACAATTGATCAGAAAAAAAAAACAATAACACGGGTGCTGTAGCTCCAGGTCAGGTACCTGGGGACTTCGGACGATAAGAAGAGATTACATTTTTGCACACAGAAGTGCAATTAGTGCCACATAATGGCCATTTCCTCCCTGCTTCAGCACATCTGAGAAATATAGATTTAATCCACCCCCTATGTATTTGCATATACTTTGCTAAGATTAGGAGTCCTTGCCGTGAGTGTTTGGTGCACAGTCGGCGTTATCTGAAGAGCTCTCCCCGAAAGGGGAAAGAGATTAAAACTCTTTGCTGATGCTGTCGGCAGGAAGGGGAAGTGAGGACAAGGCGGGAAGGAAAAGGGGGAATTCCTTGAGTCCTTCACTGTCTTGTTTGTCAGGTGTGGCTTGGCGCAAACTAACAGAAAGGATGCTTAACATTGGAATCTCTCCAAGGGAGGCGTAAGATGTCTTTCTCAGTTGGGTATGACTGGCTGTAGTCTGTAAATTATGCATGCGGCCGTCTCAGCCAGTTTTATCCCCCTCCCCCCTTTAGCCTCGTCCGAACGTATTTGGACTGAGATGGCAGGAAAAAAAGAGTTTCGTCATCTTTTCGCTGGGTGCAAATTTTC